GAAATCTTAAGCACCACTTTGACAGAGGTAGAACGGATACTTAATGACAGGCCAATAGTAAGACAAACAGATGACCCGGACGATCACCAAGCAAGCTACTACTCTTAAGGAGCAATGCTTCTGTGCCTATAGACGAACCCGTATCAAAGGTGTTTTAGCAGGAGATCAACACTTAGCGGACACTTGTGGAAAAAATGGTTAAGAGATTACCTACCCAGTCTCGCTGTCTCGAAAATGGAACTCTGTGCATACGAGCCCCGTTGTTGGACAACTGGTACTGCTGCTAGAAACAGACAAGACTCGAGGTCAGTGGCCAAAAGCAACCATCGAGGAAGTACATATAGGTCAAGACGGTCTAATAAGAGNGTCGCGTGATTCAATATCCATTTTTCACTGTCTTTTTTAGCATGCTCCTTGAAGATCGCACATTTGTATGACGAATAAAGTTTTCCATTATTAATACTTACTCATTATGTACAGTGCTGTCTGAGCTCAATCAAAACGCTGTAAAACACCCCCTGCTTGCCCGCTTCTTTCTTCGCAGCTGCAACATGTACTTGTTCACAACCAGAATCAACAAACTGGACTGACGGTGAATACTATCCTAAACACGCATGTGACATTTGTACATGTTTAATTCTTTCATCGCTACTATTGACTGTCGTCAGTAGTCGAACTCTTTTCAGACAATCTTCCTTGTTTCTTGCTTTTCTATTGGTTGACTGTAATCCGTCTTTGTCTTGGCGGCCGGCCATCGTTGTTTGCTTACTGTTTTGCTCTGATCACCACGCATCGGTGCTCTCTGTTGAACTGCTGGTCAAACTACTTCGAATGTACGTTTCTTTTCGATTTCAACCTTTTTGTCTACTATACCCTATGTTAACATATTGTTTTATCATTAAAGAACCACCAAAAACAAGAATCCGAGACGTTCTGACTATCTTCTGATATTGACATTCACCTCGGGGTGAGTAAATTCGACCAAAGACTAGCAAAGTACCGTACATACGAATCGCGTATCAACAAAGCTATTCGAACTTGACCAAATCATGGAAAATAATCCGCCGAACTTATCAGTCCACTCCAGAGCGATGTCTGAAAATTCGTCTGATCGTGTTGACCTCGAACGACAGCGCCTGGATATCGAACTTGCAAAGTTAAGATTGTTAGAACTTAATAAAGAGAAATTACAACTGCTGCAAAAAGATGACGAATCAAAGGATGTCAAGACATCTCGGCTCGTACGACCATGAATATCAGGTGGAGTTACCGAAACGTGAGATCCTTAGATTCGACGGCAATCCGAAATCTTACTGCGCATTTATCAAGCAGTTCCATTCCATGGTTGAAAAGAAGACAAAGAATAACGAAACCTGCCTCACCTACCTGATTCAGTATTACGAAGGAGAAGCAAAGAAGGCAATTCAGCATTGCATGATCTTGGAACCGGATGATGAACTCATGCGAGCCAAAGAAATACTAAAGAAGAGGTTTGGTCAAAGTTATGTGATCGCCCGAGCTTTCATCGATGGCTTGATTGATGGCCCTCCAATAAGATCCGACGACACCAGGGCATTAACCACCCTCAGCCAACAGATGCAAGCCTGCGTTGCTACCCTGAGACAACTAGGGTATCCGTCAGTCTTGAATTCTAGTCGAACCATGGAGGCGATTGTCATGAGGCTGCCTTCTCAGTTGCGCTTCAAATGGGCTGAAGTCGCCACCACCTTGATGCGCCACGGGAAAGAACCTCAGTTGGATGAACTGGCGTCGTTCATTGAAGAGCGGGTTGACATTGTAAGCAGCCGCTTTGGAGAATTGGCTGTTACTCTTAAGGGCGACCACAGTATCAGACATGTACTCACGTCCAGAGGCACGCAATTTGGAGTCCGTCGAAACATCCATACTGCAACGATTATGGAAATGAAGAGTAACGACAAGTCAACCACAAACCGGTGCACGATCTGAGGGGACGACCATTATCCAAACTAATGCCCAGTGTTCTCCAATTTTGATGTGAGGAAACAACAGACATTAGTCCAGGAGCGAAAGCTATGTCGTCGATGCCTGAAAGCCAATCACATAGCGAGGAACTACTTGGATTACTACTTGGACTTGTGGGTACACCGTAGAAGGATGCGGTGGACAACACCACACCCTTCTGCACTTGGATGGTAATACATCTAATAGTCCGTTGAGAATTAACAACAATTACGTAGCCGGAAACGACGACATATCGCCTGTGGCTCTTGCCGTGGTTGCTGTGACAATCCTTTACGGTGGACGTAAGGTGCGGACTTCGGCTGTCGGACAGTGGTTCTGACTTCACACTCGTGCGTGACGACTCGGTGACAGCTCTCCAAATGAAAGGTAAACTCAAGGATATCGTTATATTCACTCTGAGTAAAGAAACGACTATCCAAACGACCGAGGTGGAGTTTGAGATCGAGCCCGCGATAAAAGAGCGTACTCGGTCAAGTCTTGGCCTAGTGTAAACCGCGTCACGACGATTGAAATCACTTTGGCCTCACCTCAACTCGATTGAATTCGCTTCACGTGAGAACATGGAGATAGGAATTTTGCTGGTGTGCGACGTGTCACAAGCACACTGGGTGCTTGCTTAGCGTCTGGGAGACCCAAACAAGCCATATGCTGTACGTACCATACTTCGATGGGCAATAATGGGTCCCATTCACGCTCACCTTAGGAGGAGGAATGGTGTTTACTGCTCGAAGATCTCGCAGATAGAGAACATTTTGGAGAGGTTTTACCAACAAGATGCTATCGACCAAGGTCCTACGAAAGACAAGGATTTCTCTACGGACGATCGCATGGCGTTGAGCATCATGGAGCGGACTCTTACCTTTCAGGGCGACTACTACATGTTGGCGTTGCCATGGCGAACCAATACCCCCCCACACACACACACACTGTTCAAAACAATAAAGCGCATACATTTCAACGCCTCGGCATGATTCATAAACGCCCTCTAGGATTAAAAAACTTAATGAGGAACTACATCAAAACCATGAATGAGTACCTGGTACGAGGTTACGCAGAACAGGTCGAATTAAAGGAAGCCGATAGTTGTTGGTATCTACCCCATCACCCAGTCTTTCATACAGCCAAGCCGGATAAGGTAAGAATAGTATTTGACTGTGCGGCCAAATTTAGCGGGTCTTCCCTTAAACGATCGACCCTTCTCTGGACCCGACTTGATGAACTCACTGGTTGGAGTACTCCTGAGATTCAGACAGAAGATTGCTATCATGGCAGACTTTGAATCGATGTTCCACCAGGTACGCATTATCGAGAAGGATCGCGATGCCCTAAGGTTCTTATGGTGGACGAACGGTGACTTATCACAACCTCCGACGGAATAGCGAATGACAGTCCATTTGTTTGGTGCAACATCATCTCCAAGCTGCGCAACATTTGCCCTCAATCGAGCAATCACCGATCAGGCGAGTGACTACGACGAGGACGTCATTCGACATGCTAAACGAAGTTTCTATGTTTATGACTGCTTGGTTAGTGTACCGAATCGAGTCGACGCAATCCGCTTCTCCCGGCAGCTCAAGTCGATGTTGGGAAATAGAGGGCTCAACTTGAGGAAATGGAAGAGCAATGATTCACAACTGATGGCGTCTATTTTTGGTTCAGAACGTGCCGCCACACTCGTCCAGCTGGAACACCAAGACCAAGTAAAACAACTAGCTCTGGGTGTAGCTTGGGACCTCCAGCGTGACGAATTTTGTTTTCATGTACGTCCAATGACGAAAGGCTTCACCAGGAAGAATATACTATTTTACGTGTCATCGTTCTTTTGATCCGGTCGGCTAAATCTCTCCAGTGACAATCTTTCCGAAACTGGCCTACAGAGTTTATGCAAGCGTAAAGTAGACTGGGACGAATAAATTTCAGGTGATGAATTGAACCTGTGGAAAAAATGGTTAGATAGTATACCTAACCTCGAGCGGTTCTCCATACCACGGTGTATCAGACTACCAGGGTGTCCTCATGTCCATTTCAGTTGCATGTTTTAGTGACACCTCGGAAGCAGCTTCCGGTGCGGTGGCCTACCTGGTCCCCGATAACAAGGAAACCCCTAGATGCCAGTTATTGTTTTCAAAGGCTCGAGTCGCTCCCTTACGTACGACCAGTATACCACGCCTGCAGTGATGGCCGTGAAGATAGTTAAATTGATTCGAGCAGAACTGTCTTTAAAGATTTCGTCGATGCACTTCTGGACAGATTCTCTCGTCGTTTTACAAAGTATCAGTAACAGTTCCTAGCGATTCCATACTTTTGTAGCTAACCGCAGGTCAGCCATATTGGAGTTCTCCGACCCGAATGAATGGCAGTACATCGAATCGAGTCAAAATCCGGCCGATTTGCTGTCACGCAGAGCCTTTGCTGCTGAGAGGGAAAAATTATCGAGGTGGAGAAATGGCCCTCAATTACCGCTGATCCCAAGAGAGTTATTCCCTCAGGACGCGCCGGTTACCCAAGGGGAAGCTTTCATTTGTTCATCTGTTCACAATCCGAGTCGGCGACACCATGTCCAATTGTCCCGGTAATGAACCACTACAGTCATCTTCAGTCATGGACCAAACTGCAGAGATATGTAGCCTGGATCCTCCGTTACAAACGATATTTAAGGACGCCAAACGAAACTCCCAGAGGCAGTCTGATCTTAACAGAATTAAAAGAGGCGACACTGCAGGTGGTGAAATCGAAAAAATGAGAAACGTTCCTTCAAGAACTTGGTCACCTTAAAGATCACGGGACTTAGACGGTGCAGAACCGCGAAAAGATCTGTCAAGTTCGCTGAGGTCTCTGACACCAATCCTCGTCGAAGGAGTGCTACGTGTTGGAGGATGACTCCAAAAGTCGAACCTACCCTTTGAAACTAAACACCCCATTATAATGCCGTCGCACCACTTCGCTACTCGACTTCTAATTCGACATCATCACGAGATGAATGATCATATGGGACTCGGCTACCTCATATCAATCATAAGAGCGCAGCACTTGATTTTGCGAGCGAACAAAACAATAAAGTCGGTGTTGCGGGATTGCTTCAGATGTCGTAGATGGTTCTCTCAATCGTACCAACAAGCCATGGCTCCCTTGGTCATTGACCGTACTGTACAATGTTGTGATCCGTTTGCAGTCTCAGGAGTCGATTACTTCGGGCCGATCTTTGTGAAGGGAGGAATTGCCGTCGAAGAACGTTACGGCTGTTTATTCACGTGTTTCAGTTCACGAGCAGTACACATCGAANCACGGACTCCTTCTTGTGCGCCTTCAATCGATTTGTGGCTCGTAGAGGTTGCCCTCAGCGTTTATATAGCGACAATGGGAGCAATTTCAGAGAAGCGAAGGTACAAGTGAAGCAAATCTTACGGACTTGGGATCAAGATAAGACTGAAGAGGCCCTGCTAATCCGTGAATGCGATTGGATTTTCAACCCTCCACGAGCT